TCCGAAGTTCAGTGAGGAGCAGCACTGGCTCTCTCCTGCCGTGCAGCTGAATCCCTCCTCTCACTGCTGTTCTGGCCCAGGAGCAAGAGATTGGAAGTGCAAACACACCCTGGGTCCTCCCACAAGGCAGTGCAGAGCACTACCACTAAGCCACTGGGCTGGCCCTAACCAATTATTTTAAGCTTTATTTATTTCAAACGCTATCTTGTCTGTATGGGAGGCATTGCATCCAATCATGGTGAAACATAGGATATAATGGCTACCACCGAGAATTCAAAACCAGCAAAAGAAACTGTTTTCTCACTCTGGTTTAAAAACAAAGAATAGACATTTCTGTCTCTCTCTCTCTCTTTGTGGGTGTTTGGGGCCCTCATCTGTTTTTCACTGCCGTTCCTTGTACTGGCGTAAACAAAACTTTCGTATTAAAATACAAGTGTGTGTGGGCAATGCTTGGCTTTGTGCGAGTGGGAAATAGGTTAAACTAGGACTGGTATTTTCATAAACCACTTGGAAGCAACTAATAATTATTTGCTCTCTTCTTCAGTCCTTCCCTTCCATGAGAGAATTTACTGTTTGTGTAAAAATTCCAAACATTGATGTTGGTGACTTTTTTTTTCAGCATATGTTTTTGGACCTGGTTTATCCATGCTTGGCTTTTCATTAGATCTTGTACTGCTGAAGGCTGAGCTGCTAACCAGGTTTATAACATGTATGTACCATCACTTTGTTTACCTGAGTCTTTTTAATTTGAATAAAAATAGTTTGCAAAGTGTTTTGGATTAACCAGGCTTGGGTGTCCCATTAAGACTCCTGTTGGGATTTTATTTCAAGTAATTCTGGCTGTTGCTGACGCAGATTTTTTCAAGTCCTTGGTGTGTGCCTGCTTGTGTGTGGGTAAAATCTCCTTTTTCTGTTGTCCTGTGTATTGCAAGAATGTCTGTAGGTGCTAAGAACAGTGATGCTGAGAATTGAGCCATAACGAGCATGAATAGTGAACCTTGAAATGTGACACACTGGGAACCAGCTGAGTGGAGATGGTAAGGTTCAGTCAGTCACATGTGCTGCCCCCATATTAATTGCTTTGAAAATAAACAGCAAGCTTAGTTTCATACTGGAAGCTAATGTGGTTCAGGACTGTGTCCTATGTAGCTGTTTAATGGAGGAAATTAGATCAGTAATATGGAGAAAGCATCTTTTACACAATTAAATTGGAATCAAGGACAGAAATTTTCTTTAATACTAGAAACTGCAAGAAAAATTAAATAACCGGAACCTCTCAAGGTGCCTCGTGACATAAAATTTACAAAGAGCTACTTAAACAAGCAGAACAGAGAGCATTGTATTTAATTAACACACATTCATGTCTTTGGCCTGGGGGATAATTGCTGCCTCTCACACAGGCTGCAGCCTCACAAAACTTCCACCTTTCTAAGATTTGCTATTATAGTTGCCAGAGGAGACTACTTATAATCATCCTCCACATCTTCTTTGCTCAGTCTGAGATACCAAAGATCATCCATAGATGTATGTAGCTCCCTCTCGGCTGCAAATGCACTCATATTCCTTTTGCTGACTGCATTTTCCAGCAAGTCTGATTTGACCTTCGTACAAAGAAATTAATTTACTGCAGTGCAGTGGGATCTGGTGATCCTGGATAGAGATTCCCAGTCTCTGTCAGGCCTCAGAGGCATGGTGGTCTCCTGCACTTGGTCCTTCCTGCTCCAAGAGGGATCAGGAATCCAGTGCAGAAGCCTGGCCATGCAGACTATCATCTGTTAAAGGAGGCTGCTGGAGAAATGGGAAAAGAAATGGAGGGGAACGCACGGTATTGCACAGCAACACATGTAACCAGTGAGGCTCCACTCAGGCTCAGCTGAGCACAGGAAAAGCCTTGGACAGAGATGGTGAAGGATGGTCAGTCTGAGCCCCTGTCTCTACAGGGAGTGTCCAAATTCAGTTTCCATTGGATGATTTTTGGGAGGACTATAATTAATCCTCATCCTTGGTGTGAAGCACCATCATCCAGTAATGATTTTAGGAAGTTCCTCCCACCTGTGCCTGTTGGAGATTTTTGCACCTTTCTTGGAAGGAGCTGGGGCTGTCCATAACCAGAGGACTGGTACAGCTCAGGATCTGGGTGTTGAGCCCAAAGTGAAAGCTCACCTCCACTGAAGACAGGAAAGGTTTTACTTCATGGAGGAATTCACCAGTACGTAACAGGTGATTTTTTTTCCATTTTCTACTCGTGAAAAGCTTGGACAAAACTCTGCTACAGCCCTGTGCCAGGGAGGAGTGCAGGCTGGGCACATACACCTTCCTTTACCATCCCTTCTTGCAGTTCTTCCCTGGCTCACCACAGGTCTTTCAGCAGACAGCTGCATCCTTGTGTGCACAACCACAGGGAAATGATCATTCTTTCCACAAAATCATTCTGGGTTGGCAGGGAAACTCTTCCCTCTCCAGCACTGGAATGGTGAGCAGCACTGCTTGTACAAAGGTATCACTGGCTGTTTGCAGATGACTGTTCACTGCTGCTGCTTTACCAAGTTGAAATTTTCCATTGCTCTGACTCCCACAATTTGGAAAGCTGTCGGCAGGGATGCTTTGCAGAGAAATTCCTGTTGTGGCTGCTGTTGGTGGATGCTGAGCTGTGCTCTGGGCTGACACTAGCTGAACTCCCTGCAGAAGGGAGGGACGTGCTGTGCCCCAGACCTGGCAGGGGCTCAGCAGGGTTCCACGTGAGCACCGTGTTCTGCTGTGCTCCTGCTGCACGGAACAGCCGCACGGTGTTCCCACTGCTGCCTCAGTGCTGAGCCAGAGGAGAGCTCTTGCTTCCTTCCCACTGTTCCTCTGCCACAGTACACAGAGCGGGGGAAGCTGGAGGATGGGAAGGAAACAGATGAGAACCAGAAATAAAATGGGAGATTGATGGTGAATGTAAAGAGCACAGAACTAGG